TCCGACCCCCCCCAACCCCCCTTTCCCACACATACCTCGGGATATATTTGGGATGGGGGTCGTGGGACCTGGGGGGAGGAGCTTTAATTTTGTGGTTGGGGTGGGGAGAAGAGGGGTGGTCTCAGGGGGTTCCACGGGGTTTGGGGGAGAGGAGGGAAGTTGAGGGGTGTAAGGAATGGGGGGGACCCAGTGAGACCTGGGGGGGGGAGGGTATCCATGGGGTTTGGGTGTCCTATAGGGGCCTGAGGGGAACCTATGGGGTTTGGGGTGACCCATGGGGACATGGGGGGAACCTACGGGATTTGAGGGTCCTATGGGGACCGGAAGGGAATTATGGGGACCGGAGGAGGATCCAAGAAGTGTGGGTGGACCTATGGAGTTTGGGCAACCTATCGGGACCTGGGGGGGGAACCTACGGGTTTTGGGGGAACCTTTGGGGTTTGGGGAACCTATGTGGACCTGGGGAGGGATCTATGGGGTTTGGGGGTTCTATGGGGCCCTGGTGGGACTCAGGGGGACCCAGGGGTGGTGGGGGGGAACCCGGGGATGCCGGGGCAGAGGTTACCGCGGGGCCGAGCGCTGCCCACGCCCCGGGCGCTTCCTCCCCCCCCCCTGTAATTATCCCCCGCCCGCGGCTATAAATACCTGCGGCGACCGCCGGGGCGGGTCCGGCCCACAGGGACACCGGGTGTGTGTGTGGGGGGGGCGATAAGGGACCCCCCAGCACCGACCTCCGGGACCGGTGAGACCACCGCTCCACGCCCCCCACCCCCGTCCGTCCGTCCGTCTGTCCCTTATCTGTCCCCCCGTGCCCCCCGCCATGTGGCTCTCATTGCGCTGTGGTGCCGCAGCCACATCAAAGCGGTGGCGTTGAGAAGGGGGGAGTGCTGGGGGGGGGACATTGGGGACCTGATCCCCCACCGGTTGATCTCTGTCAAGGGAGCCCCGCCCCCAACCAAGGTCATCTGGGTGCCCCATCGGTCTCCCTCAGCCCCTGTGACCCCCCCCAGAGCTTTGGGTCCCCTCAGTGTCCCTATTTGGACCCAGAGACCCCTCCTTATGACTCCTTGAGTCCCCCCAGAAGCCCCCCCAACGTCCTCAGACCCCCCCAAGGGTTAAAACAGACCCCCACCTAATGGCCTGAGAACCCCTCCAGGGTGAAAACATAACAACACCCCCGGTGCTTCGGGTCCCCACATGGACCCAGGAACCCCCCTTT